TAAGATAACGATCGATACACAATCGCGTCTCATTTGTCGCAGACGCAAAGCAAGAAACGTCTCTCGCGTTAAATTGGATAAACATTGTGATCTTTTTGGGGGGAGCTCGAAGTCATTGGCTTCGATCGCGTTATTTTTGCTCACGTGATCGTCGTTTCTATGATGATGTGACTGGAAATGTGTCATTTGGAGTTCGCGTTGAACGCCGACTCGTCAATGAGGACGAGCAGCTGTGACGGAACGCTCGTAAGCATTAGCACGAGCGTTAGCGGCGCGGCTCTCGCTCCACCGCAGCCGACGCTCGTTGGTCCGAAACGTTTTCGAGCCGGCGACGCAAACGCAAAGAGTTTGTGTCAACGCGACGACGGGCAGCTTCCGCGTCCGCCTCCGGGGTTGACGCCGCCGCGTCGATGTCAGTCGCCGAAGCTAATGCTAAAGCTAAACGCGGCGGTGTTTCCGACGCGAGCACTTTAGCCGCTCAGCTAAAACTAAGCTACGCCGAACTCTCCGAAGAGCCAGTCGGCAGTCAAAACAAACCGCGTCTTAGTGCTCCCTTCACCTACCTGTCGTCGAAAGCGGGACAGCGGCCGTGGTCGTTTCCTTTGTCGCTCAACATCACACCGACAGGTAGCAAGCGGCTACGAACGCACGCGCGCTGCCAACCAATGGTTGGCAACCGTCGCTCAACGCTGGAGCGCCAGCGGCGCTTTTATTATTCCGTCATCAGATCGTGCGGGCGCTTTGCTGCCGACTGCTGGACTTAGCGTGCAACTACACCGGCCGCGTCTCTGCCCGGAGAACCGCCGCCGATTCGCCAATCCCGAAGCCAGAGCTCACAAATGATCTGAGAAACTGTCCCATTTACTCAACGGACTCCCATTCATCCTGTTTTCTGTCACTTCCTCCCAGGATTTTCACAAAAAGAGCCTCAGGCAGACCAGAATGACTTTTTTTATTTATTGACCTGAAAGACGCACGGTCGTGGACAGTAACTTCCTGTTTGGTCACCTTGGACCAAAACGGGCCTGCTTGCGGGCCAGACGTCAACGTTGTGAAAAAGAGCACTTTTGCTTGGTTTCCCCGCCATCGTTTTTTTGTCGCCGTCCGCTTTTAGTTAGTGGTCCAGGATGCGGAGGTTTCCGGACACGATCTTGTTCTCCAGCATGGCTCCGGAGGGGATGTCGATACGGTCGCCGTGGTTGGCGATGATGATCACCGTTCCCTGCCGGCAGAAAATCATACCTTGATGTCGCTTTTATGTTTGGTGTGGTTCTTTGAAGGTCGAAAGGGAGCACGGCATCGATGCTAAATCCGCTTCCCTCAGCTACGGCGTTTCGCTTGATATGTTCGCATTCAGCTCCAGACTTTGGTTCGCGTGGTTCCTTTCTGCATGGAGGGGAGGGGGGTGGATAGACTTTTCGCGTACCTTGAGTGAGACGTTTTTCCCAAAGGTGACGTCTCCCGACACAGTAAGGTGGTCCAGCTCCAGCAGGTCCGGGATGCTGTCGAAGCGGGTCAGGAAATCTTGGACCTGACGGCGACGGCGGAGGATAACATTAGCATAGCGCCGAATCGACGTATGGCTAACGTGAATCAAAGGGAGCTGGAATCGAAAGACCCAAAGCGCCCGCGATCAAGCGCCGACCTTGGTGAAGCAGCCCCCCAGCTTGACGTGCGGCGTGGTGGGGAACTCCCTCTTTTGGCTCATGGTCAGCGAACCCGCGTCCAAGCTGTAGAGGTTGGACATGACCAGCAGGAGGTCAGAGGACGTCTTGACGGGCAGGAAGCGCGAGCGCGGCACGTTGACGCCCATGGCGTTGCGGAAACTCTTGATGGCCGCGCCGACCGCCGTCTCCAGCTGGATCACGTTCAGACCGCCCTCCAGCGTCTGGGCGGACACACCGGGTCGCGTCACGCTACGCGGGAGCCGGAAGTGACGCGACGCCGTGGGGTGGGAGTGCGCGGGTGACCTTGGGATTGACGATGACCTCCATGTCCATGGCGTTGTCGTCGACCAGCCTCTTGATGGCGCTCAGCGAGATCCACAAGTTGTTGGTGTTGAAGATCTTGAACTTGGTGACCGACTTGAACTCGTCCACGTGAGCTTTGGGAACCTGCGCGATCTCCAGGAGCCTCAGGTGGTCTTCGTACTGAATCAGCGTACCGCCCTGGAAGTCACGCCCACGGGAAGTCAGACCCCCGGCAGGAAGCGCTCGGGGGCGGGAAGCGCACGCGGTACCTTGACGTCGGCGCGGGTCTTGTCGGTGACCTCCATGACGAACTCGCAGCGCCTGTCGGCCGGCTGGCCGATGAGGCGTCGGAGGATGCGGAGGTCGACGGTGGCGCCCAGATTGTCGATGTTGGACACGAAGATGTACTCCTTCCCGTCGTCCAGGAGTTGCCGGAGCAGGCCCGAGTTGGCCAAGCTGGCGTAGATGTCGCCGTGACCCGGCGGGTACCACGCCTCCGCGCTGTCCAAACTCTTGGCGATGGGCAGCAGCGACTCCTTGTTGATGCGCGGGTACCTAAAGCGCCACACGTACCATCGAGGACGTTCAGGTGCGACCGTGTGTGTGTG